GTAATGTTTTTGTAATAAGTGACTAAAACAGTCACTTTTTACAAAAAATGTATTGCAACGAACAGACTTTTTTTTTTTCTTGTTATATTGTTGATAATGAATAGATTGAGGAATACTTGGGTTGATGTCAAACTTTAAAAAATGTATACATGTTGTATAAGTTGCACAATCTTAACATGTATAAGATTGTGTGCCTGATATAAGGGGGAGAGTAGTGAATACGTCCTAGGGCAATAAAGACCTGAGGGGTTTATAAAGGTGAATGAATTATATCTAAATTACTCTGATCTGTTGTGTGACTCTTCCTCAAGATTTAATTTTGTGCTGATTCTAAATGCGAAAGCGATTGTTTGTAGACCATTTGGGATATTATTTTATTTAATATGACGCTGCAGCTCCACCTTACAGTTAAAAGAACCCTAACCTTTTCTTCATCAACTGTTTGCTTACTCTTAACTCTTTCCCCCCCATTGACGGAATTTTCGGACAATCCGTGTTTTCACTGTTATGTGTTAATCTCCGGATCAAAACACAGGCGAAGAAGAAGCAGAAACAAGAGATAAGAGCATTGCTTATGCATGTTGTAGTATTTGACAAAAAGTGTTTTTTTTGTGTGTTTTTTTTTTTAAGCAGTGGCTATGTTTTTTTCTTTTTATATATTGCATGTTCAGATATTCATACAACAAAGTATTCTAGGGGTCATAAGTGTTTTGTGAAAATGACCAAAAATGCTGGCAGTGGCTGGCAACTTTTTTAGAATACGCTGGTGGGGAAAGAGTTAAATGTGCACTGCATACTGTATTCAGGGTTTTTTTGTGCTTTTGAGTTGTATGAATGTGGAACTGTTGTTTGCCGATTGTGTGCCTGATATAAAATATGTTATTTAAACATAACACTGACAGTTTTAGAGATTTTAGTTTTCCCCCCTTCAAGTGCATATTATGAGGTGTAACCAAGATGACTGCTTTAAAAGGGACCGTGGCAAAATGAGTGTTTTGAAATCTGTTAAGAAGCTTTTTCTTTTCCTTTCTCATTTTTGTTCCATTTGTTGCTACAGAAAATTATACCCATTTTAAGGTGAGTCAATTGTCTGGATGAAAGATCTCTTGACATTTGAGTTTGGTGGCTGTTTTTCCATTATGTTATATGGATTGGTCCATTTTCCCCTCCTGTGTGTCATTTAGTGAAGGAGCCCATCTGCTTGGGATTTTTAGATTGCTATTTTGGACAGGTGTTGATATAAAGAATATACACAACCGAAAGTCACCCCGTTGAAAGATATACACGCTTACTCATGTGACAATTGTATTGCCAGTCTTCTACATATCTGTTTATATCTCTCTTTATTTCTGTGTCAGTCTCTGTCTCTTTTACTCCACCTCCCTCCTTTCTTTCTTATGCACACATACACTTTTCCCCCCAAGACCTCCCAGTCTATCTCAATTGGACCCCCACTATAGAAGATTGTTTTGCAGAGTTCACTGGGTAGAGGTGCTTCATCTTGTGTCACTAGAGGGTGGTCCTATTTAGATAGGCCAGGTTGAGGGGGGATAAGGGTGACCTTTAGCCTTTACAGGGTCATCATCCATTAGGAAATGATGGGTGGATGTCAGTGGTCATCCTGCTATGACAATTTGTCTTCTAGAATCATTTTTTCTGTCTAATCCACTCCTCCAAAAAACAAATATGTGATGCCCTATTGCTTACCCTTTTACTCCATACTCATTCAAATTGAAGCCCACATGTCTCTGTTGTCTCTTTTGTTCTTTACCCTGCTCTATCTCTCTCTCTCTCTCTCTCTCTCTTTCTCTCTCTCTCTCTCTCTCTCTCTCTCTCTCTCTCTCTCTCTCTCTCTCTCTCTCTCTCTCTCTCTCTCTCTCTCTCTCTCTCTCTCTCTCTCTCTCTCTCTCTCTCTCTCTCCCTGTCTGTGTAGACAACTAATACATTCCAAAGTGTCTGGGAACCTTTGGCATATTAGCTGTAAAATATAGTTTTCTCTCAGTTTTATCAGAAATTGTGCCAGTGCTTCTAAAAAGACTCGGGTCAGTCAAGGAAACTGTGGTCTTGTGACTCCAATGCCTCTCAATCTGTTCAGCTCTGTGGCCTTGCGTAATAATTTATGTAATGACAGGTGTCGTTTTAGACTGCGTAGCTGCATTTTAGTTCATTCCTGGAAAGCCATTTCTGCTGAACAACACTGTCATCATGTAATCCTAAAAACATGAGAGATACTATTAAAGACAGCATTGACTAGAAAGCCGATTATCTATTGGTAAAAAATAAACCCAATCAACCAATCACAAAAATGACATACTGTATACATACAGTAATCAAACTCACAAGGCTGTCAAGAACATTTTGTCCTCAAAATCAAAAGGAAAAAGTAAGAAAATATATTTGAAAGGAAATAGGGAGAAATTATATTTTAAATTATAAGAGAATAAAGACTATATTCAGGGGCATTAAGTTTTTTTTTTTTTACATTGTGACTTTGTTTTCATGGAAATGAAGCTATTTTCACTCCAATTTTCATACATTTTCAACTTAATGTGAAAATAAAAACAATATGCAGCAGTGAGTACAAGTTCTAGTTGAGTTCTAGTTCCAAACGTTTCAGGCCACTTTAAAAAATGCTATGTTATTTTTTTTCTTAATTTAATACATAACACTGACATAACACTGAGTGAAAATGTATTATTTATTTATTTTAATTTCTTCTTCTTTTTTTCTTTTTTTTTAAATCCAGGTTTCAATGGGGAAATCCCCCGTTGTATTATTTCAAATGTAAAGTATTTACACATCATGCTAATATTTGTTGTGTTAGTACCTGTATGGTCATTTTAACCCTGGATGTCTATTCCAAGGTGACGTGCCAAAACAATGAGTGCCAGCTTTTGCTTGATAGAGATGTCAGGAAAGCCTGGAAGTGCTCCTGTCTACCAGAGACAGTTGGCTTTTAATATAACAGAAATAGAAGGAATCTGATGTGTTGGGAACAACACTGTTTCATTGCGCTATTGCTGTCACCTCTTTAAAATGTCACGCACTCTGTACACGTAGCACAATCTGAAGGTCGGGAAGGGTGAGGAAACCACTGTTGATAGCAGAGCACTTGGACAGAACAGGTGACCTGCTGACAAAGCTTTGTCAGACTGAGTAGATGGCACATGTGGCCTCAGTGCTGCGTGAAGCGACATTTCAAACTGCTCTTGAAGGTCCATCACTGGCACCTTGTTTTAGAGTTTGAGTTGAGAAGGAGTGGACAGGTAACTTTCAACTAATCAGATTCTTTCGGATTAATTAGGACAGATTTAGCAGACACAGTGCTTGATGATTTTTGCATTTTGTCATTTTATTATTTTCAAAAAGCCTTTCTGTAGCTTAAACTGTAAGCATGGTCCTAGCAACGCTAAAATCATGGGTTCAGTTTCTAGGGAATGCATGCATCGAAAAAGCAATGCAGCTTGAATGCAGTGTAAGTTTCTTTGGGTAAAATCTGCCGTATGTGTACATGACAATTTTAGAATCATTAGATTTAAATTTGTCTTGAATAAGTTTTTTTAAAAAGGTTTTAAGCATATAAAACCAACTCGAATACAAAGATAACTTTGTTGAAACATTTCATAAAGATGCACATGTCATTTCTATCTTGCAATTGTTAAGAAATATACAACAAACAGGGCCCAGGTTACCAAATGACAAACTACAGTTACCTGTAAACGTACACGCATGTACAAAAGGTAGAGTATATCTGTTTTTTACTCCAAGTTTGCTGGAGTAAGAGGGTAAATCTTTCATAACATTCACTGTAGGATGGAGTCTAAAGACATTACTTCAGCTAACAGAAACCCATAAATGCAATCACTCACTCACTCTCAAAGTACACTTAGTGTTGTCAGGGTGGTTGAGGACAATCTCTCTGGCACACACACACACACACACACACACACACACACACACACACACACACACACACACACACACACACACACATATACGTACACATACTACTTTACTTTTCCTTCCTTGTCACATTTTTCTTAGTAAGTGTTCAAACACAATCAGCATGAGCACATGATGAGACAGGAAATGTCAGGGATCGAAAAATCACGCTCTTCCATCTCTTGCACTTCTTCTGTCTCCTCCTTCTATATATCTGATATGTAGCTGCAATCCTCCTGATGAGTTTGACCTCTAAAATAAGCTTCAGTAATCCATGAATCAAGACCTTCAAACTGTCTGAAACACATGACTCTTTGTTGTCACCTCGTTTATAAATCACAAAGCCTGTCACCAGATGACAAGAGGTTCTTTTAACTGACTTCACTGGAATATTCTTTGACAGGCGCAAGAACCTTTGAAGTCAATCAATGAATTATTTATGAATGCATCTGATTTTACAAGTGTGCTATAGGTTAAAATTAAGGGTGGGTGAAAAGCGATGGGTGAGGTTTTTTTCTGCCCCTAAATTTGATTTATTTATTTTCTAAATTGTATTATCAGGTAAAAAAAAAAAAAAGTGTTGATATTGTCATGCCAACAATTTTGAATGTTATTTTTTGTTGTTGAAAAAAGCAGATTTGCAACAATTCACTGCAAGTATGTAAAAAAACACACACTGAGTTATATCCATTCGACCAAAATCCAAAATATGAACAAGCTAAAAAAATAATTGTGCAAAACAATTGAGTAAACGTAAGTAAAAAAAATCACCACATATAACAGTCTTGAATAACTTTACTAAATTGTAATATCGTGACACATAATGTAAAGATTTGTTAGTTTTGATTTTTTGTGGCAATATCATTATGGTTGTCATTCTTATGTGCCATATGCTACTTCCCTTTTCACTCTAAGCATCTTTATTAAAGAATAGAAGATTAAACATCTTTATCAGTTTCAATTAGTGTGTGGATGACTGCTGGGCCAGAGAGTATATACTCTCACATCTGTACCCGGTGCCCTAAATCTCTATATCCCGTTCTCTTTTTCTCTTTCAGGTGTTTCTCTCTGGTGTGGTGCTGGTGCTGTGACTGTCTGAAGAGATTTAAGACTGAGAAATCCAGCAGCAGGTAACTCTACTCGGTCATTAAAGCTGTTTTATTTGGCCCCTTCTTAAAGAATTCAACAGCAGAAGAAATGGGGAATAAATGAGTTGGCGTCAAAAAAGAACAGAGAAAATGGATGCATGTCATATTTTATTTCCATGTAGATTCTAATCAGATTGTAGCATCTTAAAGAGCGTTTCGAACGCCAACCAGGATATGAGCTTCATGTGGAGTCTGTTTCCCTCCTCCAAAATCCATCACTATAAATCATGTCACTCCTAGTCACACAGCACAGCTCTGTTAGCACACATGCAGAACGCTAAAATGGATACAAATCTTCCTGAAAATGAATTGAGTTGACTGTAGATGTTGATTTGGATATGGACAGTTGGGACGTGTCCATGCCACAGTTAAAAGACCAATATATATATATAAAGTGAATATGGTTGTGTTTGAATTGAACATTTTTCAAAATGGAAATATTTTATGTGATTTTGTGTGAATTGCTTTGTTTACGCTTGAGCTTTAGTTTAAGGTGTCCGTGTTAGTGTAATTATGCATTTAAGTACTGTGTAATAATAATTAACTACATGTACTTACTGTGGGTTTAGGATCGGGGTATGGTTTAGGGTTAGTTGCATGTAATTATGCATAATTTATAGTTATTACTACAGTAACTACATGTAACGCGTTAAAAGCTTTTTAACTTGTGTGTTTTTTGTTGCAATATTTTGCAAAGTGAGGGGCAGCAGTGCAGAGACATTGTAAACAAAAAGAAAACAGGAGTGAGTAATCTAGTCACCTTTATTTATAAAGCACTTTATACAATACAGATTGTTTCAAAGGAGCTTTACAGTGATCAACAGGAAATAATAATCAATGATGTAAACAAAGTTCAATTCGGCTGTAAATATCATTGTTCAGGTCAGTACAGTGTTGATATAGTTCCGTTCAATAGCTGTGTAAAGTTCATCAATGATGAAATGAGTTCAATTTAACTATAAAGCAGCTCTGGAGAAAACAGAGATGTCATCTTGCTCGTTCTTATCGGATAGTGTCAGTGCAGCCAAATCATTAAAATTGCTCAATATTAAGTAGTTTGCAGTCTTTTTAGTACAGGTTTTGTAGCCTCAAGATTTTGACTTGTATTCAAAATCATTGTATTTAAGAAATAAAATATACTTTCTTTCTTTTGTGGAACACAAAATAAAATATATATTTTTCATATATTTATCAAGTTTTTTTTTTCTTCTGTGCATTGAAAGTCAGTGGTGTTCAATGTTGTTTTGGTCCCCATTGACAAAAACAGTTCTCATGTTCCACAGAAGAAAGAAAGCCATTCGGGTTTGGAACAACATGAGGGTGAGTGAATTATGACAGAATTTTCAATTTTGAGTGGACTGTTGCTTAAACTGCACTTTTGTTTCTGTGCAATGCAATTCACAAGGCGTTTAATTAGTTCTCGATAACAAAAAGCAAACCAGATTCACATCAAAAGGAGCATAATGACCCCACAATGCCTTGTCAGCTCCTAAAAATACACTGCAAATTATTTATTGTCTCTTTCGCTCATTAGGATGTAGTTTACATCCTTTATAAGAAAAGAAAGCATGTGGTTTCTCCTCTCAGAGTGGTTCCCCTGCGGATCAGCGGAGGGAACTTGGCGAACGCGCATCACCCCAAACACTTCAATGTTATCTTCTCTACTTCCTCCTCGTTCCCACTGGGACTCTCGTCCTCGCTTTGAAGTTGCTGCACTTGAAAAAGACATCTCATGCACGCTGAGAGGAGTAATATAAAAAATGTTGAGGAGATTGGTTTTGGCTGCTCGAGTTTGAGGGATTCGTGGGTCAGACTCAAAAACTGCACTCAGCAGCAAAAGGATGTAATTGTTGTCGTTGCTCAAAATCAAGCGAGTGCCGTTACCAGAAAAAGTTCTGAGCGATGCCAAGAGAACCGCGCTCTGTCTGTGCAATGCAGCATGCTCTCTGTCTCTTCAGGCCCACTCAAAATATCAAGACCTCCCTCTTCATTTGCTTGTGAAAGCATCGCTCAGTCTTGTCAGTGTGTGTCCTCTCATGCATACGGTCTGGCAAACAAGTGGATCTCTCTCCCTATAGCTCGCTTGCATAAATGCTTTAATGTGCACCCGCTCTGCTCGGTTGCTGCTGGCTTCTTTAAATCAGGCTATTTTAGTTTTGATGTTCATTTGATGTTAATTGAAGCCAAGGGTAATGACAGCCCTGGCAGGCACACTTGTTCTACTTTGCGCCCAGAAAGAATCAAAAAGCAGGCTGCAGCTTTCTGCCAGTTTCAGGATCTGACACAAGCGATCGTTCTTTCAGACACCAGGGATTTCATCTGGAATAATATGATGATCCTACGGGCTGTCGTAATGAAGGATTGTATGATAGAGGCTTGTTTTGGCACGTAACAGCTGGCTGACATACGTTTAGGAAGCCCGCTCCATGATGCATGTTCAGCGATTTGTAGGGATGTTGATTTGTAGGGATTGTTGAATTTTATGGATTTGAGAACTGAATTTAGAGGTGATATGCTGTTTTATTGTGTTGTCATTGTGGTCGACATTCATTCGAGTCTGATATTTGATCAGGCCTCGATGATATTGAGTCATTCCAGTCTTCATTATGCTAAGCAGACAATATATGTACAGTGTACTGTGTTTAACAGTGGATAGTGTATTATATGTGTAGGATTACTTATTTTACTGTAAAAAGCTACTTTTGTTTCCTGAAATGTACAGTATGTGATTACAAATCACACTCAGAACATGAGCAGTTGTCTCATCCTGTGCCATCAATACACATTCACAATAAAGCAGAGTCCAAAATTATTTTTGTAAAAAAACCTGCCAAATAGCAGATGACATTTTACTAACCATAAATATACCATGAAACTGCATTTATATGGATATATTAATATACTGATTTTGTGCTCAAGTAACGTTTGTTATTATCGGTGTTGAAAACAGCATAGCATTTATTTGTAGTAGAAATATTTTATTACAATTGTCTTTATTGTCAATTTTAATCAAAGGTATGCATCTTTTAATTAATGCTGAATACAATTATTTATTTCCTTCAAAAATCGTTCTGACTCTAAACTTTTGAACAGTTATATAAGAGTTATTAAGCTCTTTCCGTGCAGGTAAATAAAAAAATCTATTTAATTAATAAAATGTATGTTTTATAAACCTGTCAATGGTGCAAATTACTAGTCATAAATATATATTTTTAAATGTAGTCGTAAATCCCCCCACCAGTAAATCCCCCCACCTTTATTGGCAGGTTTATAAAAAAATATATATTTCATTAATAAATTAAATTCATTGTCAATGTTTTTTTTTTCTTGTAGGTGAAAACGGCAGCTCTCACAAAAATTATTTTGTTCTTCATATTGTCATTTTAATGTTTTTTAAGTCAATTTTAGCAAAGAACGATATTCCAACTTGTTTTTATTTCTGTTTTTGACATGAGTGAATCAAATCAAAGTGAAAATTAAAGAAAATTTATGAAGTACAACGTTTTCCCCTGATCGGTTTCGCTTACATCAAACAGTTTGTAGTATTATTCTTCCATTGTGTATTGTGCTATTTATACCATGCAATATTTTGCAAAGAAAATGAACAGACCAAATGGCAAGCCAGAGCTCCTCAGTTGGATCAGTATTTACTTTGACAATGTGTTACTTTTGGAAACTGCTAAAGTCTTTAATGTACACACAATATTTTTTCTCTCAAATACTTTTAGTTTTAGTGTTTCTTGTCCAAATATCTTCTAAGGCGTGAAAGGGTTAAGAGTTGCAGACTTGGTTTATGGGGCGGCATGCTGTTTGTGCCAAAGCTATTGGAGGGGGTTTGGTTATTGCCGGTAATAGCATCATTAGGAGGAGAAGCGTTCCAAACCATATTAAAGCCTTATAGCTGTATCAGTCATGTGAAATGATATGCCTTTGTTACTCCAGACTCAGCCCACCGTTTCATCTACCTAACCCAGAGATATGGCTTTCATTGCTATCGGGCCCCGCTGCTGTGATAGATGATGCTGTTTCATGTGCTAACGGAGGCGTATGTCTCTGCTTTTTCACTTGTTTTTAATTAGCTTTCCAATGCTAATAAGCATGATTGTATTGAGTCCGTCCTCGCTTTAAGATCATTTCCCCAGTCTCATCTCAAAAACACGCAGATAAAAAGTCGAATTTTCACTCTACACTTCAGTGCGATGATATATCACTCATGGTAAGATCTGTTTCCTGTGTAATTTTGAGATAAGGTGAAACAGTTCGACCCTCCGTGCTGAAACACTGTACGTCGGCCTTAAAACCGGTGCCTTTTAGTGCGGTTTCGGCGAGATGGTGCGAGAAGATATTCCCCCGTCTCTCTCTCTCTCTCTCTCTCTCTCTCTGGGGTGGAAGGAGTTGAAGGGAGGAGGGATGTTAGGTATGCATGAGGGGGAAAGAGTTCCTCTCTCCTCAGTTAGGGTCATGTGAGCTGCTTGACGGATAAGCCTCGGTGAGGCGGGCAGAAAGCGCTAGAGGCGCAGTGCTGATTAAAACTCAGACTGCTATCTATCATCTGCACCCCCCACCCCCCTCTGCCCCGGCCCCTTCCACCCTCCTCCAGCGCCGTCTTCCGTGTATTATTCTCTGGTGTGGGCGCCACGTAACAGATGGGTTTCCCAGAATCCAATATCGTTCGGTGGGGTAAAAGCCATTTGCATGTGCCCATCACCCTCCTACAGAAGACACCCTTATTCCTTACAGTGTGAGTAGACCTCTGTGTCATGTGTATCTCTCTCTCTCTTTCTTTCTCTTTCTTTTTTATCGCTCTCTCTTTCTCTGACCAGTGTCCTCATTTCTCTCAGCCAGTCATACCTCTTATCTTGCTTAGCTGAGGTTCTGAGACCGTCTTGTCCTTCTTTTCTCTCTCTCTCTCTTTAATTTTTTTGTGATTCAATATTTTAAAAAGTGTTTTTTGGCAAGATAAACAGTGTTTACAAAACATT